ACCTCACGTCCTTGTAACTTTTGTGGGTGAACTTGCTTGATCTTGGGAAGTTTTTTAATTCACAAAATTTTGATTATTTGCAATATAAATGCTCCAGACCTATGTTTTAATTAAATTAAACTTTTCATATATTCACTTTCTAATTTTTTTTTATGAGATCAGCTGTTATATTATCGACATCAAAGCTTGCCTATATTCTTTGCTGAAGGTGTTTACAAGTATTTTCTAAAGATCTCAGTGAACTTTTCTTTTAGTTAGGTTCCAGTTTACACAATCAGGGACCAACAACTGGCTGTTATGTCAATTGGTTTCTTGGTAAATAAGAGAGATGATGCTCTCTTGTGGAGAGGACCCAAGAGAAATGGTATTTATTCCTTTATGCTCTTTTAATTAATATATGCTTTTAAAAAGCTAGATCTAAGTGTCTCACCATTAGTGAAACTTTACTGAAATCACTTCAAGGAGCTATGCCACCACATGTTGAGTCATGTTTTTGTAATATGCCAAATTACCTTAGTTTNGAAGGTGTTTACAAGTATTTTCTAAAGATCGCAGTGAACTTTTCTTTTTAGTTAGGTTCCAGTTTACACAATCAGGAACCAACGACTGGCTGTTATGTCAATTGGTTTCTTGGTAAATAAGAGAGATGATGCTCTCTTGTGGAGAGGACCTAAGAGAAATGGTATTTATTCCTTTATGCTCTTTTAATTAAAATGTACTTTTAAAAAGCTAGATCTAAGTGTCTCACCATTAGTGAAACTTTACTGAAATCACTTCAAGGAGCTATGCCACCACATGTTGAGTCATGTTTTTGTAATATGCCAAATTACCTTAGTTTGAAATATAGGAAACCTCAAAAAAACGTTTTCTAACTTAAGGTAGCTATAATTAGGCTTTATTGATAGTGAGCAAACAATACTTAGTTTTCTTTTTTGGGGGCAGTATTATGTCTAGTTGATGTAGAAATTACGAAATATTTTGTGACACCACACTATTTGTACAAAAGTTATGCAACTACTTCTGGAAATACTGTGGCATTTCTGAGCTTTTGAATGAAAGGAAGATGTTTGAAATCAGCAAAATGTTTTACTATTATCTTAAAACAACTTTGTTCCAGGCCCGTGCACCATACTGTCTGCGATGTGCTTTTATTAATGGTTTTTAAAATAATGCAAATTCTGTAGAGTGCTACAAACAGTTTGATGTTCCTGTAGACTTCCTTGAGTTCTCAAGTGACAGTTACTGGTATTTTTTTTTTTTAGCAATGATCAAGCAGTTTCTATCAGATGTGTGTTGGGGTGACCTGGATTACCAGCTTATTGATACACCTCCAGGTATGACGACCATATAAAATGTTATTTTCAGAGGCTTGTGATGTACTGATGTGTGATGTACAGTGGCCGTGTGGTTAATGTCTTACGCTGTACATATTCAATAAGTCTGGATTCAAGGCCTGTTCATGGGTCTTTGTACTGCATTCTTAGGTAAGAGAATTGACTTTCAATGCCTCTCATCGCACAGGAGGAGAAATTAGTGCTAACAAGTTGTTGGCCAGCCTGAACTTCAAAAATACGGGGATACTAGGGGGCATCCAGCAGTAGGCTAGCTCCCCATTAAGAACATTTAAGGGAGAGGTAACAATACTCCACACTAGGAGACTGGAGTTGACGTCCCTTGATTGCAGTAGGTATACTCTTTATTGTTAACTTTGCTAATAGTACAATGGTGCATATTCATTTTGCGGTATGCAGTGTAATCCTATCATTATTGCTGTGTCCTAAGATTGGTTTTGTTCAATCCAGGAACATTTGATGAACACATAAATGATTACAGTTATTAGAAAATCTGCGACATTGCAATCCAGATGGAGCTATTTTTGATTTGTCACTACCCCTCAGGTATGCATATTAAAGTATTTTATTTTATAATTAACTTTCGATCAATGTTGTTAATTATCAGTAAGCCTTATTTGGATTTCAGAAAGTTTATGTTTGCTAAAATTTGTGTACTCTGACTAATACATTGTTGATTTAGCCCTTAGAGCATTGAAGAAAGCCAGCCCTTCACTTAGGCATTTACTAGCCTTTTAATAGTCAATCAATTCAGGTGGAATGGGCTTTAATCATTGTTTGGCCAAAACCTAAGATTAGTTCAGTATCAGTTGATTGGCAAAATTGGTCCCCAGTTTTGAAATTTTAACTCTCATTTTTTTCCCTTTGTTTTCCAAGAAAAATTATATCAGCAGTTGTTCTTGGGCATGGGATAATCCTCAGTCTTCAATTGCCTAATAAAAGATTTGCAAGACATTTACCAGAATGAACTAGTATGTAATACTTGGCATTTTGATGGATTTTTTAATAACATTTCTGTTGTTTCTCAGGGTGTGGGCAGTGTCTGACATCAGAAGAGAACTAAAATTAAAATCCCAATCCTAGAGTGGTGGAGAACATGAGTGGATTTGTCTGTCCTCATTGTATTGTAAGTGTTAGCCTCCTATACAGATGCTCTTTGGTGGAAACACCCAAGGGGGGAGGGTTCTCCCATATATGGGATATATAGGTTTGTGCCGTGGGATAGCGTATAGTTTTTGAGGTTCTCAATCTTTAAATAGGGTGTCATTTTTGCCCCTGTTGACATTAACTGAGTTCACAGTGTGATCTTTAGACAGGGTACCTATCTACATGTAAATTGTGTCCGCTAACATTGCAGTGTGTAAATGCCCGGCTAAACAGAAAATAAGTTCAGTCTACACTTGATGCTTTTAAACTTCTAGTGTCACAGAAGCAAAATACAGCTGACCTGTTCTTGCCATTCTTAGTTTTTGTTTTTTCCTTGAATTGGATGTCATTTTTCTTGGTTCGGGCCTTAAACAGGTTATCAGTATCTTTTACTTCATCTTTAAATATGGTCAGGGCTTTAAGACCTTTCACTGCACACGTATGGTATCTGGGAGGAACCACTGCCTGACAAGTCCATGCAAAATGCATGATTGTGTGGAGGAGGCTATTCCTTTATATGATATTAAAAACTTACTACATGTATGACTTGTTGTATTTTTGACTGTTATAGTGTGCCTTCATCTTCAATGTGAAATAATATTCCGCTTTCTTTCTTTTAGGAATGCACAAATGTGTTTCAAAAGGAGGAGGTGAAGCCTTGGCAAAGAGCTGCGATGTTCCATTTTTAGGTAAAAATACTTACTAACATAGATGACTACACAGGAAGGGGATAGAGGGGTGAGGGGCAATCTAGCCTGTTCCAGGCTCTCAGTCAGTGGGGACGATCGAAAAAGTGGGCGTGGGACAAGTGGGGTCTGGTAAAAGAAAGGAGAGGGCACTTGTCTACGTTTAAATTTAGTATCAAGCAGTGAAGTATATTTCTAGAAATGCAACAGTCTCATTTGCTGGAAGCTTAAGAAATGTCAATAAAATTCTTTGTTGTGTCAAGCTTATCAAAGAGCAGTCAACAGATTGTTGTGATCTAGTCTAGGCCTAGGGGTCATTGCAAATTGCAGAAAATTCCCACTGATGTGATGTGTTCAATTTGACATTGAAATCAGTCAGTTTTCACAGAGGAGAGTCTTCTAGCTATATCTTGCTTTCAGCCCTTGAAAGGATAATTTTCTCCTTCTTTGTAGGTTGTATTCCACTGGATCCCAGTCTAATGCAATCCTTAGGAGATGGTCAAGCCTTTATTGACTTGTTTCCTAAATCACAAACACTACATGCAGTCAACGCAATCACTTCCAAACTGTTAGAAATGGAAAGCAATGGAAATCAGTGACTGAAGGAACAAGTACTTTTTTTTTCAAAAAATGGTTGTTGAGTATGTGACGCTTATACAGTTGGACAGTTGTGACTGAGATGGCCA